CATCTGTTACAATCTCCCTCCTTATCGTCAGGTTGGTAAGGTATGCATCAGATTTTGTTGAATAGTGTTTTCCGGCAGTGGTATTTTAGAAAGCTGTTCTAATTGTATTACCTTGTTTCTGATAAGTTTCATTTCTGTGCTGGTTACAGTATTTACACTGGGAGACAGGCCTGGTCTGGTAGCTTCTACATTACATATAAATATACGTCCATGATAAGTATTTATCCTTCAAAGACATAATTCCATCAATGAATATCTAAACATATTCCTGTATCATTTGATTTTGTTGTTGTGTGTGTAATAATTATTATGAAACATTTGACACCTAATAGGTTACTGTCGTGTCAAAACATACCCCGGAATAATCAGGTCAGAACACTTGGTCCTTGAGACGACATCCTATATGAAACCTTGAATAGGACATAGAGGCAGGCATGGAGAGCTAAGATGTATACTGAATCTGGTAACACCATCACAGAAGCAGGCATCCGGGAAATCAGCAATAAGCACAGGGAGGCAGACATCATGGATGCCTACAGCTGCTCCTCAGATTTCCAACTGGGGAAATGCATCGGCATATCTCCAGTCTTGAATCACCGCGACATAACATAGATATTGTTCAAACTACCATTACACTACGTTCACACACAATGATGATTATAGGTATATATATAAATATCAGTACCATAACGTACAAATGGCATGCATGAGACTAATATCATGACATCACCACGCTTGTATTATGTATATCCTTCTGAAAATAAGCTAGCCCTACTGTTTACTTCTCAAAATAATATTGTTATAAACAACCATGCTAAATATGTATTTTTAGCTATGAAAAAACGTACGAAATACTTTTGCATCATGCTGATCTTGTGTTCATATCTCTGTATGCAACTACACCTCTGCATTCATTCCGTCACTTTAATGGCGCTTCATGCCATTGTTAAACCGTCTGATATGTATGTGTTTTATGCGCCGGCGGCCCCTATACTGAATAAACACGTATCATCATCAGTACTAATAACATGACTATATTTAGTTGCCAAGTATATCAAAGATCATTAACCATCAAACAGATTGAAAAGACGCAGGCAGTTATCTTAATACGAAGTATCCCAACAGACACCCAACACTCTCTATCCCCCAGATTAGTAAATCACAGAGATCACCAAGCGTGATACAGTAACCTGCTACAATCATCCATGACATACCACTTCAGTATGCAAATGGCCAAAAGTAATTAACCCATGAGTCACGTGACAGTGTCACGTGCATTGAACAGGACTGATTTGAAAGAGAACGTCAACGGCAGTACGACATTGGCTTTCTCCAATATCAATTCATCATGCACGTTTTTGTTACAGGTGCTTACTTAAGGAAGCAATATACTTTGATCATTCGTTGAAACTGCTTAGACAACAACCAAAGATGAGAGGAGCATTGCTACATCTTGTTTTAACAACTCTTGCTTTAGCTGAAACATGTTTCCCTTTTCATGCTAAGAAAGTTGATGCTTATAATGACAAGAAAATTTCACAGTCTGAAATATGGACTGTAAACAACCTGACCAAGGGAGAATGTATGTTGGCGTGTCTTCAGGAAAAATATTGCGTCAGTTTCCACTTCAGTTCCCCGGGACCAGTTTGCGTGGCTCTACGGGAACGGTTTGAGGGATCCAGCGTTGCCGCAACGAACGCCCTTGGGTATCAGCTCTTTCAAACCAATAAAAGTGAGTAATGTAATAACTCAAATGTTTTAGAACTATGATTTCGACGTATTTACAGTTTTTTATCAAGTTCTTAAAATGACTCTGCCGACATCACCTTGATATATTTTGTGTATCCAGTTCAAGGAAAGTAAATAACACTGTGTTGTGTAGATACTTGATTTTTCTTGAGATGAGCATGAAGGTAAAGAATCTTACCGAGTGGGGCAGTTGGGGGTTATCACTCGGGTACTTATACGTAATCTACATACGACACAGAAACTACATGCTACCATCTGCTTGATTGGCATTTTAGAAGTTGGTGAGTAATAAGAAATTAAAATTATTTATAGATAACAACTTCTTTATTATGTATCATGTGACGTTTCGGTATTGATTCTTTCTGAAACGTCGCATGATATATAATAAAGAAGTTGTAATCCATGAAGAATCTTAAGTTCTTATTAGACGTTACCATGTTAGAAATCTTCTGTGGCATCAGTACTGCGATGCTCAGCACTAAAGTGTCCGCTCCTTCCCATAATAATGCATACCATTGCACTGATTTTATTGCTTTGACGCACAGTATCGTCAGATGTAAGTTGAAGCTATGGATGTGTAACTTCTTGCAATGACTGGTGGATGAAATGCCATCTATTTTCAGAAAGTTACTAGATTCAGTAACGATGTAGCCTTAACTTTGTTACTGTTTGAAATAATAAGTCCTCATAATCAAGTTATCTCAGCTTGGTTATTTCTCGTGTACATAAATGACCTCATAACTGAGATCCGGCAGGTACACACTGGAATATGTATATATAACGTTAGATTGCCATGCGTACTACTTGCTGATGATACTACACTTATTAGTTACAGCCCTAAAAGTCTACAACCAGCTTTAGACACATTTGTTAATTATGCCTCCAAATGGCGATTAACCTATAATGCATCAAAAAGTAACATCGTGGTGTTTCAACAAAAGAAGCAACTAATGCGTATGCATGCTTATCACCTTGGAGATCATGACATACCCCTGTGTAAAGTACGCGGGTGTTCTTCTCCAAAGTGATCTTTCTTTTAAACTATATATTGAGGAGAGTTGCACTAAAGCAAGGCGCACTGTTAATTCCCTCCTCTCTGTTGGTCTAAACAGTAGGGACTTGCATCAGTATTCAAGTATTAATATATGAAAAACAATGATATTAACAACGAGTTTTTTTATGGCTGTGAATTACTACCCACTCTCCATGGTAAAGACCTTGAACTAACTGAAAGCACTCAGCGCTACTTTGCCAGGATTGTGCAAGGTTTTGATAAACGCTCTCCTACTGACGCCACCATTGCTGATCTTGGACTCTGGAGCATGGCCGGCTATATAGATAAATGCAGACTACAACTGCTTGGGCGTATTTGTAACTTATCATGTGTCCCAATCTGTAAAACAATATTTTGTGCATCTACCTCACTCTATTATTCTCATACCAAGAACTTAGACAGTTTATATGGAATACTGCTTTCAACAGCTAAGAAATATAACTTACTTCATTATGTATTTGACTACATCTGCACAGGAGAATTCCCGGCGAAACATAAGTGGAGAAAGATTGTAGTAAATGAAATAAGTAACCATGAGGAAGAAGTTTGGAAATATAAACTATCACGCAGAGCTGACTTGTCCAGATATTCTAAAATCCATACAGCACTTTCACCTCATGTGTTATACAGCATGGCATTGTTATATCCAGAACTGAGAGTAGAATTGCAATATGTAATAAGGATTGGATCCGGAAGCAAACTATCAAAAGAATGTAAGAAATATAATACCTTCGCTAACGATTTCTATCACCATGTTATCCTAAACTGTGGATCTCTACTTTCAGAGAGAGATGTATTTTTCTCAACTCTAATCGATAATCTTGATATTGACATGTATATCAAAATAGAGATGATGGAAGAGCATGACATGCTTGCATTCTTTCTCGGGGCCAATAACAATGATATTGATGAAATAACAAGGCATTTCACTATTATAGAATTCTCAAAGTATTTGTATAAACTAAAAGATATCTTCAATTACCCGTGGTAATAATCTAGCCAAATAGCTTACTGTAAATAACCTGTATATATTTGGGGAAATGTTCCCATATTCTATGTATGTACATGTATATGTATATATATATATATATATGTGTGTGTGTGTGTGTGTGTGTGTGCGTGTGTGTGTATGTTTGTTGAGTATTCTGTTAATTATATAATTATATAACCATGATGTTTTGAGGATCTTCGGACCTATCTGGAGGAAATAAAGACATTCATTCATTCTTTCCATCTATTTTCAGAAATTTACTAGATTCAGTAACGACGTAGCCTTAACTGTGTTACTGTTTGAAATAAGGAAATCCTCATAACATAGCGCTTGTGAGCTAAAACAACTACTTGCCTTCGAATATCGATCGGTCACGTTCGCCTGCCACATCAGTCATGGGGTAACGATGTGTGTCACACATCGCGGCTGAACTAAGAGAGAAATGAATGAAAACGGTTCCGGAAAACACACCAAAGGCTGGTGGTACTGGATCTTATGTCCAGTTTTCATTTTTTTTTGGCCTCATGAAATACAGATTCAATAGGACCGTACCATCCCACATGCAGTACCAGGGAAATAAGTGTAATTTGTCTTCATATTAAGTCTACGGGTCATGAAAACTGAATTCAACTGACATATTTGTGGTCAAATCAGTGTATTACATTCATTTCAATGTTTCGCATTAGAAACATCTGTGCTTTTGTCTGCACTACATCTTGATAAACCACACTGGTCTCATCTTCACTCATATCAAAGTATTTTTCGGAGGTTATCCATCAATTACCATTCATTTCCCAAGGAGAGTGAGTGAGTTAGTGTTTAACCATTTCCCAAGGAGATAGTATTATGATGAGTCTGTGTTATTTTCCCCAATCACATGCAACTTCTTTGTCGAACACTCCTATTAACTGGCCGCTGTGATATAGTTGTTATCTTGATTACTCTGTCGGAGTTGATTACATAATCACTAACATTAAATTAAACAAATAGTCAGTCTGATAACTTGTGTGTGTTTTCTTTAAAAGTTTGGATGATTTTGTCTTATGTTTCCCTGATGACTTGCAACTTGTTTGTTTAACACGCTGATTAACCGGCCACTGACATTTGGAATGTTGCCTACTGTGGCGGAGTTGAACACGTAATCAAATGTTCATAGCTGTGCGCCAAATCCATGTGCTGGAGAAAATGTTTTTTCTTACATTTCAGCTTTGGCCAAGGTAGGGTCAGACTGTGAGATGGACGTGGACTGTGCGTCTCTCCCTAACTCCCATTGTAACGTCAGGTTCTGCAGGTGTGACGTGGGCTACGGGATCTACGGAGACGTCTGTCGCAGTCTCGCAGGTACGTTGAATTAATTTGGGTTATGTACGTTTATAGCTTCTCCTTGAATGAGTGAGTTTGTGTGTAAATTTGTTCGTGGTTGAATGTATGCGTGAGGAAATGGCGACATGGGTGAATGTTAGGCTCTCCTCACCCACTCTCTCCTCTTCCTACCCCTGCAGATCTTGAACATAAAACTGTACATAGAAGCATTACCCGTGAAGCATTAATCGTGAAGGTATCCCAGCATCGCAATTTTGCAAGCCTCGTAATTTTTGGACATGCGCAAAAAGGTACATGAAAGGCTGTAAAAATATTTAAATTTCACATGTTGTGTATCAAAATAAAGAATTATATGGAGTCCCCTACCTTGAGACAAAACACTGCAAAGTGGATCACACAACAGCTTCAGGTAAATTCGTACTTCTGACCTATTCAATCCTGAACATGTTGTAAACATTGTTTCCTCATCTCAACAATGAAGCGAGGTTAACTCATTAAGGCCGAGAGACGCATATATCGGGCAAATTAATCAGATCCTCACAGCGAGTGTGTTGATGGGGCAGGTAATTGGCAGTTTCTCACAGCGAGAGCAACATATATCCGTCAACAGAAAGCACCTCTTATTCAGCGAGAGACGCACATGTGTGTTGTACTTTTAAAAATCGCAATGTACCTATTATTTCAAGCAATTTAGTAGGGCTGAGCAAATATTAGCTTTTCTTACAAGAGATGCTACCTTTAGTGTCAATCAGAAGAAGTATTTGAAGTGTTTTGATAGCAATTGCTAATCACTATCATAGACTTATACAGCGTTTGGCAAATGAACACATGTCGGCGAGAAAGGGGATTATGATGTTTTTACAGAGGTAAGTGTCTGGTACTCTTAATTGGGAATGGATAATAAAATACTTCTTGAGCACATTGATTGAATTAGATGTAATGGTTTCGAGGTTAGATTATATTTTCTTAGATTATAGATTATATTTTCTTCAACTTCCTAATAAATAGGAAACAAAGGATTCAAACACATTGGAATAGTTTGAATTGACTTCTTATGTATTATTAGGTTATCATGTTTCATATAATGAAACATAATGTACAAATAATTATACATCCAAGCTCGAATAGATTAGACATAATTTAACTTGAGCAAGCACAAGTTGCCTGGATATGTGTGCTATAGAAATAACGTATAACGTAATACCTAATCGAATATAAAGTGATAAGTCGCGCCTTTGCATCGAATATAATACATGTCAGTATTATTACAACAATGAAATCTTTTACTACGTTTGTCACAAAACACAGATAGTTGGTAATTAAAACACTTCTTAGACATAGACAGAAGTAATATCATAAGTGATTACATGTAAACCATACAAAGGTATTTCAAGTATTTTTGTTCAAGCTGTTAAAAGTTTCATGTTGATTTGAATTGTCAGTTTTCTATGCAATTTACATGAGCATTGTGTAAAACATTTCTAATTGATCTCTGTAACTATCAAATCCGGTGTAATTATCACGTGTGTGAATGAACTCAGTCTCTATTGATCCATCGTCAATAAAAGCTGGATAGTATATCAGCTACGGTATCGATACACATGCGTATAATCAATCATATTACAGTAATGAGATAATTGAAGACCTCTCTCGACCTTGAAATAACAGAATGCATGTGTAGTTACGCCCTTGTTGAAAGGTTTGTCCCGTGACAAGTGTAAAATAAACAGATGCAATGTTATATCATTGGACAACCTGCTTTATGGAGTCACGCCCCTCTTCGTAATGTGTATGCATGCATGCACATCTGTAATCTTATGAACCTCGTTTACATTCAGTATAAATATAATTTACGTCGTAACACACGCCCATCTTAATAAATATTTGGGGGGATTAAACTGCAAGTTTATACTTTATAATCATTCAGTATCGTGTCACTTTTTGAATTCTATAATACGTGTACTTTAATTTGGATATTCATTCGTATAAAGGTGAAGATTATATTTACATGTACAGCAAACCATTATGTTTCATGTACTGGCTGTGTGCGTAAAATGTATATGAAAATAAATACTATCTCTACTCAATTGTTGGATTTCAATCACTTTGTTTTACTTATGGAAAAACACTAAAATATGTTTTCAATCTCTGAGAGCTATCTACTCCTATTTGTCTTATGTGTATATTTCATAGATCGTTACGATTATGTATGTTTACAATACACAAACTGTTACATGATAGCTTGAGTTGTTAAAGCCGAAACCCAGCATATCGACTGGTCAACGGTATAGCCAATAATCAATCTCTATCCAGCTGTTGAGTGACCAAAAGTGGTCTTCAGAAATTTCGCCCAGGCCCCATCACCTCATGATACGATTGGTCATAGACAACAAATGACCAGCCACTATATTGAGCGATTAAGATACCGCATGTTCTATTGGGGAAATTTGATGACGCCCTATCACGTGACTCTTTGTTTTATGTCTATACAAGGAATCTGTATTATGCAATTTTTATATGTATGTTCGTATGATAACGTATGTTTTTGCATTAAATCTAGATGAAACAAAGTTATGAATGTGCTCTTTGTTAGTCACAGTCTAGCGTAATAGTACTTTCCTTGAAATATTCAGTTTACACTAGAAATGTATCGGCAAAAACGCTTATATCGTAGAAGATTATAAAGCATGTATGTAAATTACAGTTTGTCATTGTCATAGATATTTTGTAAAATTAAACCTCACACATTGATATAAGAGAAAGAATTTGTTTATGTAAGTTTCATCTCTTACATACAAAGAATACATACATATGTTGCTAAAACATAAATGTACAAGCCGCCAAAGGTCTACAAGAGAAACTTGCAATAAAATTACATAAAACGTTGCAATACATGATATGTATTCACACCTGCTTTCTTTTAACTTGTATCGTTACGACACAACACAATTAAACAATCAGAGCTTGTTTGTACGACTAGACAGTTTCCAGTCATCCCCGAAACCTGCCAGGGAAATCAGGTCTGAATAGCACTAATTAGCTCGCAACAGCGAGCCGGGCAATCAGCGAGGGGTTCCAGGTGTTGAGTAGTGAAGTGTCTCTCGGGCTTAATGAGTTAAAGCATGTTGTCCTCTTTTATGCGTTGAAGCAAATACGACTCTAACTCGTATACCCAAAGTACCCATACAAACATCATGTTGTATCATCATGTGCCTCCAACATGCATGTTTGAACCTTAAGAAGTGGACGTATTATATCACATCCTTGGGTAGCTGTCCAGAACAGATGCATCAAAAGGATTATGATTAAACGGCGCATCTGTGGCTAATGGAACCATCATCTGGCCAACATGTGCAGTGTGGTTTAAGCAGATTGTGTTTTAATATCTTACCAAGTCTCTTGGGCAAAGACCAGGGGTAGAATAGGTCTTCAGCAACCCATGCTTGCCACAAAAGGCGACTATGCTTGTCGTAATAGGCGACTAACGGGATCGGGTGGTCAGGCTCACTGACTTGGTTGACACATGACATCGGTTCCCAGTTACGCAGATCGATGCTCATGTTGTTGATCACTAGATTGTCTGGTCCAGACTCGATTATTTACAGACCGCCACCAAATAGCTGAAATATTGCCGAGTGCGGCGTAAAACTAAACTCACGCACTCACTCACTCCTGGGCAAAGGGACTCTGTTGAATGTAATTTTTTCCTACAAATAAAACTTTAGAAACAGGACACATAAATACAACAGGGTTACATCTATAAGTTAGTGATGAGAGTGAGTGAGTGAGTGGGTTAAACTTTAACGTTGAATCAGTTTTGCTTTCGCTATGTATCGGCGAAAACAAGCATATGTCCACTACTACCTAAAAGTTCATTCCCCTTACACGCGTGTGCAACGTGTGACGCAAACCGTGTTAGCCAGAATCGTAAAAACTAGCATTTTCCTGGGATTGTGTTTTCCTAGTTTTTTTTCCTACTGGATTTCCTGGGTTTGCAGTGGTATGGAGGAAAACCAGCCTTCCCAGGAAAAAATGGGAGAGGATTGGGATAGGATTGGGATTTCCTTATAGACTTATATGAAGTATGAAAAATATAGGAAAAATTTCAACATGCCTCCGAAAAAAGAACTGTCACAAGACCAAGTCCAAGAAATACGTGCACTTCGAGGTGAGCTGTCGGCAGCCGAGACCAAAAAGCGTTTCGGTATTGGATCGAACATATGGCGAGATCCGATCGAGGAAACCACAACCATGCCGCCAGTCGAAGAAGAAGTACCACCACCATCACCAGAAGTATCATTGCCGGTCGTCGAACCATTGTCACAAAAAGTGACTCGAGATAGATCGAAAGTAGCTATACCTGGTAGTACATTGCCAACCATCCAGGACTTCTACAACCGCCTGGGGACGATCGAGACTCGTGCGAGGAAAACCACGAATATGTTGGTCGACATCTTGTCTAGGCTGGACATCGACGACGACGCAACGAGGAAGATTCCAAACTCCTCCGAGAGGAAATGGAGAAGGAACAAGAAGAAGAGACCAATTTCGATATCCAGAAGGTGGGACAGATGGTGGAATCGACCCAAAGATGGGTCTACATTTCGCTAGTTGCCGTTTTTGTTGGGAATATTGTCCACAAGACCTGGAAGCACAGCACACCGTCTAGCACGCCGGCCCATATACCTGTCAACAAGAAGACAGAAACGCCCAAACCAGTTTCCACGCCCAAACCAAGGGATCCCCACTATATTGAGTAGAGACGTTGATGTGGGGAATGCAGCCTATTTGGAAGAAAGTATTTTAGTAGGGTATACGAACCATGCATTTGGTTTTTTGTTTTTTTCATTCGGGCGTGCGCCCTACTTTCCGTACCACGAATTCCACGAAAAGCGGTTGAAATACGAAAACGGCCTAGAAAAATCTACGACTCCATTCTTCCTTTGCAACCCCAAGCCCGTGACTGTGCATCTGTAAAAATACTAGGCAAGCTGTCAGAGGGTCTGTCTAGAAAACTA